GGTAGGCATCGGTAGGAGCAGGGCTCACAGGCAATTGGACGTGGCATCGGTAGGAGCAGGGGAGACAGGATAATCCGTAGCATCAGTAGGAGCAGGGGAGACAGGATAATCAGTGGGTGTAGGCTCGGGGCTCACAGGATAATCCGTAGCATCGGTAGGAGCAGGGGAGACAGGATAATCCGTAGCATCAGTAGGAGCAGGGGAGACAGGATAATCAGTGGGTGTAGGCTCGGGGCTCACAGGATAATCCGTAGCATCGGTAGGAGCAGGGGAGACAGGATAATCCGTAGCGTCAGTAGGAGCGGGGCTCACAGGATAATCCGTAGCATCAGTAGGAGCGGGGCTCACAGGATAATCCGTAGCATCAGTAGGAGCGGGGCTCACAGGATAATCCGTAGCATCAGTAGGAGCAGGGGAGACAGGATAATCAGTGGGTGTAGGCTCAGGGGTCACAGGATAGTCCGTAGCATCAGTAGGAGCGGGGCTCACAGGATAGTCCGTAGCATCGGTAGGAGCAGGGGAGACAGTATAATCCTTGGATGTAGGCTCGACGGGATAATCTGTTGGTGTAGGCTCAGGGCTCACAGGGTAATCTGTCGGAGTAGGCTCAGGGCTCACAGGGTAATCTGTGGGTGAAGATTCGACAGGATAATCTGTGGGTGTAGGCTCGACAGGGTAATCTGTGGGTGTAGGCTCGACAGGGTAATCTGTGGGTGTAGACTCAACAGGATAATCCGTGGGTGTTGGCTCGACAGGATAATCTGTGGGTGTAGGCTCAGGGCTCACAGGGTAATCTGTGGGTGTAGGCTCAGGGCTCACAGGGTAATCTGTTGGTGTTGGTTCGACAGGGTAATCTGTGGGTGTAGACTCAACAGGATAATCCGTGGGTGTTGGCTCGACAGGATAATCTGTGGGTGTAGGCTCAGGGCTCACAGGGTAATCTGTTGGTGTAGGCTCAGGGCTCACAGGGTAATCTGTGGGTGTAGGCTCAGGGCTCACAGGGTAATCTGTTGGTGTTGGCTCGACAGGGTAATCTGTGGGTGTAGACTCAACAGGATAATCCGTGGGTGTTGGCTCGACAGGATAATCTGTGGGTGTAGGCTCAGGGCTCACAGGGTAATCTGTGGGTGTAGGCTCGACAGGGTAATCTGTGGGTGTAGACTCAACAGGATAATCCGTGGGTGTTGGCTCGACAGGATAATCTGTGGGTGTAGGCTCAGGGCTCACAGGGTAATCTGTGGGTGTAGGCTCAGCGCTCACAGGGTAATCTGTGGGTGTAGATTCGACAGGATAATCTGTGGGTGTAGGCTCGACAGGGTAATCTGTGGGTGTAGGCTCGACAGGGTAATCTGTGGGTAATAGACTCAACAGGATAATCCGTGGGTGTTGGCTCGACAGGATAATCTGTGGGTGTAGGCTCAGGGCTCACAGGGTAATCTGTGGGTGTAGGCTCGACAGGGTAATCTGTGGGTGTAGACTCAACAGGATAATCCGTGGGTGTTGGCTCGACAGGATAATCTGTGGGTGTAGGCTCAGCGCTCACAGGGTAATCTGTGGGTGTAGACTCAACAGGATAATCTGTGGGTGTTGGCTCGACAGGATAATCTGTGGTTGTAGGCTCAGCGCTCACAGGGTAATCTGTCGGTGTAGGCTCGACGGGATAATCTGTCGGTGAAGGCTCAACAGGATAATCTGTGGGTGTTGGCTCGACGGGATAACCTGGGTGATCGCTAGGAGAAGGGTCTGGGAAACCTGGGAAGCCGGGGAAGCCGGGGAAACCGGGGAAACCTGGAAACCCGGGAAACCCGGGGAAGTTGAACTATACAATTTCAAGTTAATGGCAGGAACCACATTTAGAGATTGTAGAGCAAGCATACAGAAGCGGAAGCGCGCTGCAAGGCAAAAGCCGACAGCAACGCAGAGCCAAACGCAACCTTCATTGTGACCAATGGTGGAGACCAAGATGGTCAGGTTGGGAAATTAAATTAAATTAGAAATATCAAGTATATAGGATATGATCATGGATCATCAAACGATTGGCAGTGTCACTTCATAAACGAGTGACGAAAGAAACAGGAGAGAAGGACCGGAAGGGGAAACATCAACATAGCAACAACGACATCTTTTTGACCCGCGAGAAATGGCTGTTTTTATACACCATTCTGAACCATGAGGAACGATAGGAAACCAATCGTCCATGATCAAGATGCCAAACCTTATCGGACATACAAGCGTCGACGGGGGATCCCTCCGAAATATGACACTAGTGTAAGTGTGCCTGAGAGGCGTTCAGGAACAGGTCTAGTTGCTTGTCAAAGCTTCGCGGCGTTCCAGGACTGGGTCGAGAAACCCACCTTCCCCAGCATCATGCAATTTGGCGAATGTTCCTTCACCAAAAGAGGCCCAGAATCCAGTCGTCCAGATCAATGAGTCAAGATGGAAATAGCCGAAGTTTGCAGTAGACATTGGAAAAGAGAGAGAACATCCTGAGTCTCTGATAATGTGCCAGCTCCATGGAGTTTTGCTGCTGCCATCAACCCATCGGTACTCAATTCTTGTTGTCCGTGGAAAATAATAATCTCGAATGCATCCGACAGCAATTGTTGTGCGACCAGCAATCGGCCCACATCTCCTCATGCAAGGATGTTGTTGACGAGAGGACAGAGTTTGCTCCTCCACCTCTGTTCCCTCCAGTGGTTGAAGCGAGGCTGAGACATCGCTCGGTGGCTCTCGCTCTCCGCCAATTAACACGGCGTTTGCTGACCGGCTTGATGGCGGGAATTGGTGAACAATCGTATCCATGAGCTGGCTCTGCCACGTATAGGATGTTCCCTTTTCTTTTCTGACTTCTTCCCGCGTCACGACTCGCGAGAGAAATCCAAAAGCCCCAGGTATCGCAGGCACGGACTGAAGGACGCTGAACAGCAGTATTAGATCATTGTTTGCGACGGGTTGCCTTCAAGCACACAGTCTTCGTTATTATCCACAGCCAAGCTAGATTGTTCGAGACCTCAGTGGCTTGGAGCATACGGGGACGGACGTTGAACAAGTTCCCACCAGCGACAGCCCCTGGAAGAACCGAACGTTTCCTTGAGCCTCCTGGAAACAACCGGGCTGAACCCAAATCCCACCGCCAAGATCCGGCGCGAGCAGACAGAAGCCCCGCGATTAGCTTCGATCTATTTTTGACGAAATTGCCCCAGCGGTTGAGCCACGTCGGACCTGTACGCAGCAGGCTGTTGCGCGATATGGCGCAAGGTTGCCATCATGGCTGTTGGGAACTTGAGGAGGAAGACCTCGGTCCTGTCAGAAGCAAATCGATAGCAAATCAGATGGCTGCTGGCTCGCTTAAAGAGCAGCGCTATTTTAGCGCAGCCAGATTTGAATAATTTTCTTCATTCCTTGGCCAGTTCGTTGGAGTTCGATCCAGCGAGGAGTCATTCCACTGTGTTGTCGATTGTGACTAAGACTTGTATTTTGTTGGTCTCGATGTCTATCTAGAAAAGGTCTATTCAGATGGACACTGCGATGAGAAAAACTCACAACTGGTTGGGAAGCTCTCCCCTTCCATTCCACAAATTGAGATGCTCGCCCACAGAGAGGCCATTATTCATGGTCTTGAGAACCTTATCCGCGAGGCTTGCGATTATATCCCCGCCAACCCCGCCAGTGTCTGGCAACTCCACGGGTGCTGGCTCTGATGATTCAAAATGGTTGCCAATGACACTGCTAAAAAGAGGCTTCACAGGTGTTGTGGCGGACATCTTGATTGATTGAAACGAGTTTTCCCAATAGCTCAGACGCTGCCCCTGAGACACCATTGATTCGACTACCGCAGACGCCATTAACAATCCCTGCTTCAAATATGGTAGCTCCGTTTTTAATATAGCGATGATATTCTTTTGGATGGTCCCAGAATCTAGGTTTCCCTTGACGAGAAGGGTATTGTTGCCAGGTACGATTTCATTGAGGGCCACGATAACCCTCCCTACCTGGATATTGCCAACCAATATCCGAACAGTTATATCACCCTGTTTTGGGGGGTTTTCCTGGATGTCAGTACATGGCCACCAAGCATGAATGATAAGTGGATATTATTGGAAATACCTACCAGAGTTAAGTAAATTGGGGTCGGGTTGACCATGACTATTCTGGCTACGACATTGTAGCCTTCAGCGTCAGGAAATTGTAATCCGACGTCTCGTATATCAATTTGGACAAAGTTGCCAAACGCTTTCTCACTGTGAGTAGTTACCCGAGAAGGGGGAGAAGAATAATAAGAAGACGAAGAAGAAAAAAATAAAGAAAATCAGAGCTCGTGAAAGAGAAAAATCGAACAATCCCAAGGAGGGCGATCTAACCTGGCAATTCAACAGTCCCATTGATATCTACCCAGATTGCTTGGATCGGAGGAATGCATATTTTTGCACGTGCTCGACCCACCATCCTGAAAGCCGGCTGATACGCGACTTGTTCGGCCAGCCTTGCAAATTCATTCATATTCCCCAATTTCAACGTTTCGTTTTCAATCTCGATTCGCTCATTCGAGCGAAACGACATTTTGGGGAGATCGACTGTCACAACTGGAATTGTAAAAGACATTCTGTCTTGGATGAAGAAATCTGCATGCATTGGATCGACAGAAATTTTCAAGCTATCCGGGACTCGAATATTGGTAGATATCTTAAAGGATATGTTATCGTTGGTTGGATTTGTCAGGGTGACGTTATAGTCAGGAATCGGGGTTCTATATATGAGATATCTTCCAAATGCTGGAACGCCCCATATGAATCTGTAGAATGAGTCAGTTTGTTCCAAGTACCCACGCTGGGAAGCAAATAATGCAGGAGAACCTCATCTCTGGAAGTACCAGGACCTACAAGACCAGGAGCCCCACGGTCAAGAGCACGACTCCAATAATGCAAGAGCAGACAAAGTGCGAGGCAATGTGAGAGTTTCCAAAACCCCTTTATCAACAATTAGCTGGGCGTTATGACATCCCTTCGGTTTGTCAACGAAACTCACCTCACTTTCTTCGTCTTCTTTCGCTTTTCGCCTGAAGGCACCTTTTCCACCGTTTCATGCAATCCTTCCTTTTTCCTTTCTTCTCGATATTCTCCTTTTACTTCTTGTTCTTGACTCCGTGCCTCAACGTTGAGCCTGTGGGACCCTTTCTTCAGTTCCCTCCCCAGCCATTCGACTCAGATAATTATGCATAGGGACTTACAGGCGATTTTTGAGGGAGCGGATATCGAATTTAGCATCAACAATACGGATGCCTCCCTGCAAGAATGTTCTCAGTCACCTGCCTCCTTCACATGAAATACACACAAGCGAGGAGGTGTTTAAGGACCGAGGAAATGGCCCACGCTCACTTACAAAAAGGACGCTTGTCAGCCATGCAAGCATGCATATAAAGACAAATGCCGTGGAAGTTTTGTAACTGGCGCAGCCGATCTTTCCATCAGGTCGGAAGCCATAACAATCTGATTCGAAGATCTAGAAGATTTGAATACCACTGAGCCATTCATTGTTCACTTCACTGCTGCGAGGTCATGGAGGAGCCGGAAGACGGGACAACGCACTTGAATTACCAATGCGAAGACAGCGGCCAAACTCCACGCCAGTGTCCAAACCAAATCATACGCGAAGTTTGGGTACGGCGGTACCATCGATCCCACGACGGTCAGAGCCGACAGAACCTCTATGTATATCAGGAACTCCGTACTGGATGCTCTGTTTTGAATAAATGTAGCCCCGAGGCCGAGCACGATGGCTGACGAGGATAAGGCGCCAAATCTCGCGATACACGAGGGCGTGGCTAAAACCATGATTGATTGCAGGAGTATCAAATTAGCACAGTTGATAGATTTAAATACTAGCCACTGTTTTTGGACGTCACTTTCGCTAGCAAGGGACGGGTTGTCTGCTATTATTCGGATATCTTCCATGTCATCTGATGGCTGTTCAGAGGACCACAGCTTTAAGTGAATGGACATCTACACCACCGACCTCTTGAACGAATTAACTCCATCCTTTCTCCAACAAGACAAAATGCACCAACCATAAATTACCCGGGAAGATGCTGAAAAAGCGACAGATGGTGAGAAGCTTGATTAAAATGTCGCTGGTTTTGAGTCCACTATATCCATCGAGCGGAATTAAGTCATGGGACTGGCATTCACGAAAAAGACTTTTAATGTAACGATAGTAAAGTGCACCTTAGCTGATCGAGGGACATAGTAAAGAAAACAATATAAATAGGTATTCACTAGGCATAAAATGAAAAAAAAGTCAGAATGATAATATAATATGATATGGATTTCTCATTATTTCTCAGCTCCAATGTCTACCCAGGTCATAAGTAGCATGTAGATATATATATATATTTGTATGTGTGTTTGTGTGAGATAAAGGGGGAAGAAAATTTCCGCCAGAATATATCTACAGGGAAATGTAGTAAAAATACCATAAAAGCAAATACGTCATCCGTCAAATTCAAATCCGCACCATTATTACAAGTCCTTTTATCTAAAATGATTCGTGATGTAATAGATGAAAACTCAGAACTTCGTAAATCACTGCAATAGGGGCATAATATAGCTCGTCAAAGGGGCCGTGAGAATCTCATGTCTCAATTCATTTTCCCACGACGGCAGCTTTGGCGTTTCCGCCGTCAGCGTGAGGAAGGATAGGAGCGAGTCATTCAGCCGCTCCCAAGACGACCTCCCCAACCGCTTCGCAATTTTAAGCATTCTCCCAACAAACCAGGGGCGTTCAGAGGGTACAGGTGCAGCCGCGGGCGTTGCAGACTTTCGCAGGGGCAGACCTAAGGGCTCAGAGTCATCACTAACTAAGCCAAAAGAGTCGTCGCATGCGAGTAGGATTTGCAGGAGGGCTTCCACAGAGCTGCTGACATCGACTTCGCTTGTTAGAAGTTTGGTTTGTAGTCCATTCAGGAAGGTTTCGACTTTGTGAGGCAGATTGCGGTAGTCCCACAAGGCAACATTGATTGTCATCAACGCTGCAAGGCGGGATATTATCTGTTTTCTCTCACCAGGGATCGAGTAGCGAATTCCGGGAGGAGAGGAGAGGATTCGGAACAACAGGGTGTCTGGTTGAAAGGCCGAATACCGGCTGGGAATTAGAGGGTTGAAGACAGATTTTTGGGTGAGAGAGAGCCGCTCGCAGCGGTGGAGGAAGGAAAGGAATTCTTCACATTGAGTATGAATTTCGTCAAGGGGAGTAAACGATTGGTCTCCAATACTTAACGTTTGATCCGAGGGGTCCCGGTTCTGGACGTACGCAGGGATATGTACATAAAAAAATGATGGTCCCTTGGTTTCGTAACCTGCGAGAATATAATCCTGCCAGTTGATTAACATGGCCATTCTTTGATTCTGTTGAAATACGGCTGGTCCTCCTCTGGCACGGATCATCTGCATTGCGGCACGCATATGGATCCAGCTAATTGGTTTGCGCTCTGGACGAGGGTCAAAATCTTCCACTGCAGCGCAGCTGAGGGTTGCAGAGATGGCGGCATCCGAAATATCTGCAGGATGCTTCTCGAAATGTTTTCGCAACATCTCTATTCCACGTCCACGGTGGGTAAGAGCCGCACGCGTTTCTGACAGGCCTTTTACCCACGCTTGCGTATTTGCGGCATGCACGAGGATGGTATTTTGGAAAGTAATATCTCCTTTCATAGCTTCTGGTATGAACACTTGCAAATACCAATTATGAGCATTTGGCGATCTTGTATGGAACCCGTATGAACATGATGGCATAACATTAGCATAGAAATCGAACAGAATCTTCCCTTCTTCGTCAAGCGAAATTGGTAAACTATCAAAGGGGTCAGTTCGCGCCGCACTTAGGTGTGTCTGCGGAGCGGGTGACAGCCACCTGGGTGATGAATAGGTAGAGGAGGACCATGTGGACAAACCACACGACTCAGATGATCCGCTATTGCTTTGAAATCCGGGATAATTTGCCTCAGACTGATACTCTTCACCCAAAGGCCCATACCAAAAAGGTGGCAGTCCCGAAGGTCCTGGGCCTGCGAATGGTCCCAATGAAGAAGGTATTTCCCAGTTTTCATAATAATCAGCATCAAGGCCGAGTCCAGTGTCATCAGCGTTCTCCAAGCCTTGATATTCCCCGTATTTACCAGGGTCAGGGTCTAGCGAGGGCAGTAGCCGATGCGCCAGCTGAAAATCCCGATCTACCACCAGACGATGTCCTTCACCATCGCTGAGGGTATTCGCAGGTCCAAGACGCTTTTTGCCTTTCCGGTCACTTGGGATTTGTGTTCGTTCTCTGGCACGCGTTACATGTCGTTTTCCACGCTGTGTCTTAGTTTCCCCACTGGTGTCTATATCCGCATCGTCTTCAACATCAGTGTCAAGGCGTTGTTGCTGTTGCCATTTTTTCTGACGCGCATATTCTAGCATGACATGACGTTTGACACTAGCCAAACTCTCAGGGTTGTTTGTAGATGCGTCGATAAACTTATACCGCACGGGCGGATTGGAGGCACGGACTGCTAGAGGAGCTGTAGAACGCGAGGGCTCCTTCGCGGGTTTAGACATGGCAGCTGGGATTCCCGAAGGATGTGATGTAGTGAGCTTTCATTAGGTTGAAAGGTTGATTTTCGGAACCAGCGTCGAGGCGGGGAAAGGCTGGATGGGACGCAACAAACAAAGTAGGAGTAAAAAGCAAATATAGAATTGCCCTTCAAGCGGTGCGATGGATCTAGCAATACTGGTCGTTCATGGTAGAGGACAATAACATGATGCCGCTGGATAATATGCTTCTACTGTTCGTCTTCTTCTGAAGCCCCGATCAGACTTGTTCGTCTGGTCAATAGCTCGAAGTTACCCCAAAAGGCACATACTTGATAAGACCCCTGCTAGCCAGCTACACTGAAGTACCTTGAAACCTTCAATTCTGAATGTCCACTTTGACTGGTCTGGCGGATGGGGGATCTGCGGCGGCCAGTGGGCGCAGGCGCAGTGAGAGAACGGCGCATCTCGCCATGCAGATTCTGCCGACCTCATGGGCACTTGGACTCATCATGTATTTCCCACTCGGCACTTTCATCTTTGCCTCCCGTCGTGTTCGTGTGGCGTGTGAGTACGCAGTAGTCGTTGTTCGAACCGCGCCGGACCTCGCCAAGGTTCATGATTAAAGTGAAGCGACGGTCGGACCAACCTCCGCACCCCATCCCCATCCTGCTCGCCGAACACAGCTCCAGAGACTCTGCCAGTTTTTCCCCAGTTCAACCTCATTTTTGTCCGCCTCCCAGTGGGCAAGTTGGCCTCCTCGTCGCGACGCATTACTGCTAGCCGGCGGTGGCGGTTACTCACTTGGCGAACCCAAGCAAGCTCGCATCCCTCCTGCAGCCACTGTACGAGCAATCTGAATCCATCGTCCTCCGGCAAACCAACTCTCAGCGTACAATCCACACGGACTTTCTCAGCGTCCAACGCAGCTCAGGGTTTCTGAATCCAGGATTACCAATCTTTTTAGTCAAGGCGTCTTCGGCATTCGATTGACACCGGAACTTAGGCGCGTTTTAGAGCTGCTTGTTGCGTCGAACTTTTCTCGAACCACCAACCTTCGCAGAGATGCACGCGGCATAACATTAGGCCATACACGCCCTAGAAAAGCATCCACCATGTTCCACGTTTGCTTTCTTTACAAGATAAACGAATTCCGTTAGGCAAACCTGAACCCTCCCCATAATCCCACTTTCTTTCCTCAAAAAATTTCTCAGTCGCGTCCATCTCGTGCGCAGAGAGGACTCAGCTTGCAATATCAGCATCCTATATTAGGGACGCTGGTGACATGGGACTCCTCCCAAGTGAGGCTGCAACCATGCTTACAGACCTGGATGTTAATCCTTATGAGACGAACGCAGAAAAGTTACCCCCATCCGACCGGTTTCTAGCTCGACATCCTCACTATGGCCGCTACCGTCCTAGCTCCAACGATTTCGAACCGGACCCAATTCACTGCAACTCTAATGACGATGAGTCACTTCGCTACTGGGAAGCAGTTCTAGCCAGGTGTGATGAGAAAACGCGTATCAACACTCTAGCAGCTGGTAAGAGAGACACTTTTGCATTGGGGAGCGTGATAGTGAAAAGTGACCACAATTCTACGGAGCCAACTGGGGACTATAGCGTCGCCGATGAAAACGAAATTTATGCTATTAAGATAGCAGAGAAGATTCTTCCAGATATACAGTTACCAGAGATATATCTTAGAACTAAACTTAACGGTCGCGATGTGCTTGTTCAGTCCCGCATCCCTGGGGTTTCGTTGGAAGTTGCGTGGCCCTACCTCACCAGAAAACAAAAGGAAAACTTCAAGAAACAAGCACGAAATATAATACAACGAATTAATAGCGTCAATGATGGTCGTAGCAGTCCGTCTTACGTTGTCAAGGGAAACAGGCCCAAGGAGGAACACCGGCTGCAACAGGCTGAATACGACATCCTTTTCGGTCCTGACTCCGATTCGAATCAGAACCTATCTTTCACTAATAATAATATGGTTCCTGCCAATATCATTGTAGATAAAGATACGATTGTCGGGATTATTGGGTGGTATAGCGCCGGTTACTTCGGTTGGGATCGAGCCAAAAATATTCATCATAAAATCCGATGTCTTGACTCTGCCGATGTCTCCTCTGACGGTGGTGTATCGATACCAGATGCGTTTTGGCGTGACCTTTACGATATTTCAGTCGACCATTCCGCCTCAAGAAACCTCGACTTGAAATCCGAGATCAAAATTGAGCCTCCCAGTCTGAACCTAGAATCTATCCCTAACGGTTCAGCAGCTGATATCCCGGTGCTAACGAAGGAGCCATGGACACCCAGGAAAATAACAGACCTTAAATGTGAATCTATGTCCCGTGCTTCCTCCACAGAACGCTCGTCCCCAGTGACATCCGCCAAACCCCTGGACTCTAGCCCGGGTTCGAGTACGAAGAAAAGAGCTGTGTCATCTACGAAAAAGGGAAATCCTACTAGAAAGCCTGCCATTAAAAAGCGCAAACTGAATGATACCGAAAGCGTTGATGGTGCTGCTTCGCCACTTCGACGATCAGCAACACCGATATCCTCGCGTGCAAGCAAGGCTCCTGTAAAAAATCGAAAGCAGAGTTCGTTGTCCGTTGCCGGTTCTCCAGTGCCGGAAACTAAAAAGGCGATAAAAGCTCCCGAATCCCAGCAAGATGTGGATGGGGATGACGTTTACGAGGATGAAGATTCAACGGAGCTGTTTTGTATTTGTCGTAAACCTGACAATCACACTTGGATGATTGGGTGTGATGGCGGATGCGAGGATTGGTTTCATGGGAAATGTGTCAAGATCAATCAAACAGATGCCGATCTGATTGATAAATATATTTGTGAGTACTTCAACAGGGCTTGTCCCTTACTTGGTTGTTAAGTCGGCTTTGTTCAATTTGTAACGCACTGGCTGACATCCACAGGCCCTGCATGTGAAGCAAAAAAAGGAATCCATACGACTTGGAAACGAATGTGTCGTCTCCCAGGTTGCAGACGACCAGCCAGAATTTCAGGGGGGATGGTTCCCAGCAAATACTGTAGTGACGAACACGGTCGAGAGTTTATGCGCCAAAAAGCTTCTCTCTCAAAACAAGGATCAGCGGCTGGGGCTTCGCCTGCTGCAAACACGTCAGCTACTGACAGTCGTTCGCGAGGATCATCAGTAGTAGTTGGAAAACGCCGCCAAAAGGGAGTTCATCGTGATGATACAGAACCAGATGGAGTTCAGCCGGACCCTGGTGTATCAAATCCACGTGATGAGGATGAGGAGGATGAGGAGGACGTTGAGGACGAAGCTGAGACGGAAAATGGGCACACTGAAGACCTTGGTAGTAGAGGCGGGATCCTTTCTAAGAATGACCTCAAGGCTGTGGTCACAGGGGTGGCATCTGCTCAAGAGTTTCGTGAACTGGGCGACAACATCCTACCTCCTTCCGTGACCGAAAAACTAACACCATCCTCTAGCATTCCTTTGGAAGACTCATCGTCTAAATTCAGAACCAACACAGTGTCTCAGGATGTTGATCAAATTGACTTTGATCTCGATGCTCATCAGATCCAATTCACCGCCAACGAACGCCAACATATCGACAATCTCCGGCAAAAACGAAGAGAGCTCCGCGGCCAGCTCGAAATGCTCCAAGATCGGGACACCTTCCTTACTCTGATTCGCCAACGTGCAAAAACAATCCTTGAGCACATTCGCCAGACGGACCCAAAAACCAGCGCATCCTCATGGAAGGATATCTGCGGGTATGACCGTCGCCTGGCATGGTCTGATGACGAGTTCGACGAGTGGAGATTGTCAGAAGAAGGAAAGGAAGCCCTTCACTCTGGGGCCCTCAAAACTGCTGATCCGGAACCTGATGGCTTTGGGGACATTGAGATGCAAGATGCGGATAGGGACGATATGACTGTTGATAGGATCGCTCGCGGAGTTTGTATCAAGAAACGCTGTGAGAGACATAGGCAGTGGGTTAAAGTGCAGCAGCAAGATATTCAACACGAGGAGAGAGTTGCAAGGGAGGAGCTGGAAAAATGTGAGAAGGATACGAAGGATGTTATTGGCCGGATTGTCTTGCGGGCATATGGAGAATGAGGATGGCAGCAATCCCAAAATTTCTCCAGCTACGTCGGCGGCTACCACTGGCAATAAAAATGGGATCAGAATATTACGGTTAAGGGATAAGGTTGAACTTCATGTCTCTATGAATCAAATTATGTTTGTTTCTTAGAGAAAATGAAGCGAAACTCTTAGGTTCTGTTTGTTTATGATTTTCTCCGAAGACATTAACGACGCCACGAGCTGATGATTTCGGTTGTTTATATTCATATCCCATGTGGCGAAGGTAGTCTAGTCTGGTTTTCTTTCTAGAGAGCCAATACTGTCCTTGCTAATTACAAGTTACTTCGAATGTTGGTGAAGGCGAAAATTCTAATATAAAATATCCCCGCAGATACTTACTTACTCCACAGTGCTTAGCCTACTCAAAATAGGGTGCTAAGCTGCCATATGGTAACAGGCCATGCTACCATGAATCATTTATTACTATTCAAGAGCAAATTTTGAGTTTGATAAGAATTGGGTTGAAATCATGCCTTCAAAGCAACTGCAATAGGATACAAGCAAAGCGGTACTAAATTAATAGAGAATTTGACAACTCAGGGGGAAGACATGTCTCGCTTGAAAAAAAAAAAAGTACAAAATAGAGCAATGGTAAACAATAATATAGCCAAATTACCACCAGAAATCGCCATCACCAGGGCTTGTCAGCACCAGTGGCCATATATCGGTCGTCACTCTTTTGGACACGCTGAGTGATGTCTCTGGCAGCCGCCCTGCTATCTTCATGATCATAATATCTCGTTACCGCGAAGCCGTATATAATACCATCAACATACGCTTTGTCCAACAGCTGTCCCACACGCTTGCCGTCACCAACCCGGCTCGTCCAGCCAAACACTCTCCTAACGTCACCCTTGTCCCGAGCTTTCGCGCCGTTTCTCAACCCAGCGCAGGTATTGTATCCCTTCTCTTTGCAATTTCCAAACCCAGTCTCAAGTTTAGTGTACCCATAATCCATAACCCTTTGCTGAGGTTTTACTCCCCGCCCTTTCTTTTTATAGACATTCAAGACATCTTCCACCTCGCCGCTCAGGCATACTGCCTCGCCAGCCTTCAGGTTTCCTTGAATATAGTTGAAACCAGCAGAATCCGTCGCGCCTGCACCAAAGAATCCGTAGAGAATGCGCACGCCGGCCGGATTCAGGATCTTCTGCGCCAATTCCTGCAATGAATTCATGGAGCATTTGTCCTTGGGCTTGCATTTGCTGGGATCCAAAACGTCCTTGTTGCAGGTTTGCGCCGGAGCACATGTTGGGCGTTTTGAGGTTCCAGCCAGACGAATGCGATGTTCTTACTCTCCTTGGCGACAGCTTTGAACATGTCCTTCCAAGGAGTCGCCCCATGACCGGCCTCTTATGTCGTGGTCGGCCCACCACCCCCTCTTTGTAAGCCGCCATGTCAATCTGGAAGGAATTGGCGCCCGTTCTAATGGCGTCTTTGAGGCCCTTTCTGTCCAGGACCATATGAAGCGATGGCGTATGTGGTCTTTTATGACTTGCTTGCTAACTCCAGCCTTGGTTGGACAAGCGAAGGTGAGAGGGACTGCTATGAGGATGCAGAGAATTGCGCATATCGTTCGCAACAGGGGCGACATTCTGGCTCAATCCAGTTCACAATTTCTATAGGGAAAATAAGTGCGTTTCAACCTGGAGGAGAAGACCGCGTAGGTGGTGTTGTTTCCTCGGGTATTCAACCGTCTGGGACGAAGAGAGTCTTTATAAGATTTCATATTGAGGAGAACAGTCAATTTATGGGGCGGCAAAACAGGAGAAAATACGATAGTGCCGGTAAATCCCTACTCATCAATCATCATCTCAAAATACCTATTCGTCATTCTTCCAACCTTGTTTATGCGGAGACATAGGCGGAACCTATCAAGATCACAGAGCCGTTAATCCAAGGCGTGGCGTCGTCAATTCGAAACTTGTTAAAATAGCTGCGAGCAGAGGCATATGACAGATCGTCCCCATGCGACTGCTCACTCTGCGGATGCTTACTGTTTCAAAAGGGGATCTAGTTCCAATCGGCAGCTTCGTTTGGTTGTCGATCTCTATTTATATCTCAATGCTGTACTAGTCTGCGCCTTAATATTGCAGGGGTGGACCTCTATGAAATCGCTGTATCAAATACTTTGCGATGCATATCTTTCCGAGCCTATCATTCCAAACGCGAAAGGCGACGGGGGGGGTTTGAAATAAGCGATTGAGTTATATTGATCATCACACATAAAGTTTTACCTTATTTTGTCTCAACTTCATATAGTCCACACAATATAATAATCTATCAAAAGATATCTAGCGGGCTCAGCACTGCTTAAATAGGAGGGGTCACGTGGAATTCTAGTGAGCGATAAAAATAAACGTCTGATAATTAGAATTCAAAGTGAAAAATTCTCTCATTGTAACCCTTCATCACTCAATATTTTTGTAGGTTAGTTTCTGTCATGGCCGGCTGGGTTATTCGTTGTAGTTCGAAATGACAGAACTTAGCCAAAGCCGTGCCAGTGCCGTATCCCGAACAAGCCTTCACTAGTAGTTATAAGAAGTGCCTAGTAAGGTGGATGGGCACTTAAATCCGAGGATCACTTCAAGAGACCTGAGACCTCGATTTCCTTATCCTGGTCAAGTCTGTGGTTAATGTTAGGGTTATTTTGGCCGAATGCAGTTGGACAATAGTCAGTAGGACAATATTGTCATGTCATAAAAGAGGATGTTTGTTGATATTGGCGATGGGGACCAAGTTGTGAGTGGAGTAGATAGTACTGTCTGGTTAGCATGGGCGCTTCTCCCACACAAATCAACCCTGCATTCTATGATGTCCACACCCTGAGATCTTTTCGGAAAATTAGACACTTCGGACCTCAGTAAGCTGGAATGTTGTGAACCGATTCCTCCATCATTCGCAACACTTCAAAGGGACCGTGTGAACATTATCCATCTTCCATGGCATGTAGAGACAAATATTGCGTGATTCTTGAAAAGGAAGCACTCTTAACACTCAGGACAGATTCACTGGGTCTTGTTGCGTATCATCCTTTTGGTGCAATAGAACTTGGATAACAAATGGGCGGAATTTGTCCCGTAAATAAGGGTCTAATTATTGTTGTTTCCTAACTCAGGTCTCTGAAACCGTGCTGGAAATGTTTCGGGGGCCATCTCAGGAAGAATTTGCCAAATATGGTCATACACAGCTTGGCTCTGAACGGCGGCCACTGATATAGCAGCTTCCAAAATCCAAGTAACTGAAAGGGTATCATCTTTGCCATTTCACTTGTTGGATGCGCTTTTGTTGCTGTATATGGACATGGTGTCTGCGTATCTGAGAGGTTAGTGTCCACTCATCGCTCCAGCAGATTATAAGAGGCACGTGATATATAAGCCCTAACTTTGGAACCCATCTCTGATCGATATCAACAACCACCTCCTCATAAACCTGCACGAGTATGAAGTACATAGTAGAAAGTTATTGACCCTTTGCTGAAATTGGAATAAAAAGGCAACTAATCGGCGAAATTCTACGAAGTACATTTTGTCGCAGATCTTCAGCTCGGACGGAGGGTTAACTGCCGCAAGGTGAAAGTCCCAAGCTTGACCATTATTCTCCTATTTGAGAATATTTGAGAATGATCCTGGCTATTCCGCTTGGCTCCCCCAAACCCAGTGGTAGGGACACCAAATATCTGAGCAGCCCTTTTGCTGGTTGCGAGTTAGCGCAGTACTTAATAACAGAATTTTTAACCTCCGATTTTATCATGAAAGAGATTACGCTACTAAACCCTTACTTTCCTTGGTGGGAGAGGGAGCATCACATTAAAAATTAACAATCAGCGCCCTGATTTCCTGAGCTAAATGGAGGGAATCCCCCACATATATGGCTACAATCTTTTTCTTATTCGGAACCTCAAAGCAGAAACCTTGTCGAGTCGACATGGTGATAACAGCGACATTGAAATTCAACAAAATCATGTCATTATTGTAGTCCCCCATCGTCAAAAATCACACCACCGTCCAACTTCAGTCCCGACCCTATGCTTCGCCACCTCAATGATCATATTTTTCTGCATTTGGGAAACTAAAAGATGCACATCACAGCCTTGGTCGAGCGACCGCGTCAAGACAGAGAAGTAGGAAAGGGTTGGTGACGCTTTCGAGAGCCTCGAGATGTTGGAAAATATGGAACATACGGGAGGCTCTAGGCAATATTGTTGTTGTTGTTGTTGTTGTTGTTGTTGTTGTTGTTGTTGTTGCAGCTGACCAGCACTTGTATCATCTGCTGGAGTGAGAGCGGCCTCCTGAGCTGAGGCCGATTGAGGAGGGTGCTGTAAAGCGATAGAATTAACAATGATAACGCAGAGAAACGAAGCGTACGTTCGTGATAATACAGTGAGTGTCCGTAATAATGGGACAAGGCGGGCATGGCCTGCCACGGGGTTGGAGATGCGAATGGTCTCTTCGAGTGATTGATCTATACCCTCAATAAGGAGGAGGGCGGGAGCGGAGTTGTATCCTTTTCCTTTGTTTCCAGGCTGGTTTTTCCGTTGCTGGAGCTCGAATAGGATATTCGATATCTGAGATACAGCTTCAAGCAGTTCGTCAAAATCATATACACGACGTGTTTGGATATTATCCAGGATAGTTTCGAGGTCTTCTGATGAGCGGTCTGGCGATCGTTGCTGGAGAGAAAAAAACAATGCTTGACGAGACAAGGGTCGTGAGTCGAAATACTGTATCACAAATGCCCTTGGGAAGTCTTTATCGACGGGGTATTTGCAGAGAAGAGTGGTTAGGATATGTTGCGAAAACTAACTGGCTGTCAGCATCTCCCATATACACATAACTTGTTTTTCATTTTACAAGGCGATAGACAGCCACTAAAAAACAAAAAAAGGGAGAAAATGTCAGAAGGAAATGTGCACCAACTTCTTCAACCCAATATCGGATATCATCTCCTGTTCCTTCTCGCGAGCCGTTCGTATTGGTGGGCTGTAGCCCAGATATCCCGATGACACTACCACAGCTCAGAACAGACCTGCCCGGCATGAGTGAAACCCCTTCTTCTATGTCTCTGGTCAAGTCCCATGGATCACTCTCCACCATTCCACATCGCTCGTGAACTGAACTATCATTGCTGTTTTTTTGTAATGACGAGTCTAACAGTGTAGAGGCGAGGATTGGCGGAGCTGCCGCCGACAAGCCAGTCATTATTGTGTACCTGTGTATACTAATATGTTGCACTCTCCCGCCTTTGGAACTTAGGCTCTCGCAAAGATAGAATAATTCAAGCAGAGATCAGGTTGAGCCAATCTTTCTTTGATGGAACCTTTGTTGTTGCGCTGAACTCGATGTTTAGCACACACAAATTTGGGTCACATTAAATAACCTGTAACTTTTCCTGAAGGCCGTCACGCTTCAGTTCGCCTGTCGTCGTGAGCAATCTTTTGAATATAAGTACTTATTCCTCCAACACCCATATACCTTGGATCTAAGCATTCTAATAACCTTGCTTGAATATGTTCCTCGTCATTGATTTGTTGTTTCTGCATTCCCCCTTTTTCTTAGGTCAAAACCCCGCAGTCCCCCACTCCTACGCGCTCCTTAACGCAATTGGATTACCGAGAAAGTTATGTCCAGGAAATCTTCCAGCAAGCATACTATGCGATGATACTTTATTACGTTTATCTTGACTGAACTTTCAATAAAACCCTTATCTGGCAATTGCTTTCTCTTTATAGCCAGTTCGATCACAATATATAATCATAGCAGTTGAACTGTATACATCAAAATCAGGAGGTATATACTGACCAAAACCTCCCCATATTAAACCCAGTATGAGTCCCACGGCAGTTTCAGAAATCACGGTTCCTGTGAACAACCCGGTTGCAAAGTCCAAGGGAGATCAGCAGCAGCAAGAGCAAAAGCCACATGTCTACGGAGGGGAAGGCTTAACAGCCCTTCAAGCCCTGTCTCATGGCGGAATTGCCATTCCCGGTATATATATACTCTAATATTACTTATCCTTCGACTATGAAAAATGATCTACTTCTTTTTCCCAACCTACATATCCTTATCTATCAAGCACAAACCTAACCAAAACGCTCCCCAGGAATCCCCAGCTTCACCTCCCAGGAGCTGAAACGCCATTGGCAACTCGAGCACATGGCAGGGGCCTTCCGCATCTGGGCCCGTCACGGCTACACAGAGGGGATGTCCGGCCACATCAGTGTCCGGGACCCCGAACACACCAACGCCTTCTGGACAAACCCTCTAGCCGTGCACTTTGGCATGCTAAAAGCCAGCGACATGGTCCTCGTGGATCTCAGCGGTAACTTCATCGGCGGTAACCGCTCGCGGCCCGCCAACGCAGCCGGCTTCCTCATTCATGCTGCCGTGCATAAGGCACGCGAGGACGTTCATGCCGTCTGCCATGCACATACCATCTATGGGAAGGCGTGGTCATCGTTTGCACGCCCTCTGGAGATGCTGAATCAGGACGTGTGCAAATTCTTCCGTGCACATAGCGTGTATGAGTCTTATGGAGGGGTGGTGTTGGCCGCGGAGGAAGGGGACTTAATTGCCAAGGCTTTGGGGAGTGGCAAGGGGTGTATTTTGATGAACCATGGGTTGCTGACGGTCGGGGGAACGGTGGACGAGGCGGCATATTTGTTTGGGTTGATGGAAAGGAGTTGTCAGATTCAGTTGTTAGCCGAGTCAGCCAGTGCGAATGGGTGTAAGAAAATACTAATTTCGGATGAGGAGGCGGCGTATAATTTCAAGATGGAGAGTGATCCGGAGTCTCTGTATTGTGAGTTTCAACCTGATTATGAGTATGAGGATATGTTATGCAGTGGGGCATTTAAGAATTAATAGTGGTCGTATAGAACCAGCCATTCAATAGGAGATATGAAAAGATTAAAGAATAAATTATTATCTATTCCATCCCATCTATATAATTCTATAAAAACTATTGGCAAACAGTAAGCCCAGCAAAGTGAGGGGTTGGCAACAGAAGAAAATCAACCTTGACAAGGGTACATTTCCTAATAAAACTGACCAACTATCAGTAATATTATATATGCAAATATGGTAAATACATCGTACAATTATAAAAAAAGGTATGTTGATAGAAACCGCAGGTGCAAGGCAACAGGTTAAAAAAGGCTAAGGAAAGGAAAAGAAAAGAAGGTGAAACAATTGGCAAAAAGCATGTAACAGGAAAGGAAATATAGTTTTACAAGAATTGGAAATGGACTACGCCATTTTTGGTTGATAGAGATAGAGAAAAACAAATGAAATGAGAATAAAGGAAAGACTTCGATGAAGGAGTAGGTAAACCTCATAATAGCGAAAGGGGGGGAAATATGCATGATAACTAGCCTGTAGGAAATAAAACGAAAAAGGTTTTGGAAAAAAAGGGAGAAATATATGGGATGGGCGGGGATGGAGGGGCACAAAATAAAGCGCAAAACATAGATGTTAAGAAAGGCAAGAGCAGGTATTAGAAGAGAAGCCGTCCAGATGGCGAACAAGGGCGAGTAAAGTCTAGTAAGGAGGCCGTGCTATGCTCCCTACCCTACCTAGACTGCGAACTCCAGACATATCCCGATTCTTTTTGCCAGGGTAGTAGCCAGTGTCATTTGAGAGAATATGGAGGGTTCGTTGGATCGGTTAGAATGAGAGGAGTATGGTGGATGGGATTGAGATGGCAAACCCTCAACAACGTTGCCCCCGCCACCATTCACCTCCTCGCTTTCCGGGCCGGCTATTAGACCTTCAAGCAATTTTTCAACATCAACGCGGCGACCCAGGCTAATAGAACGGGGACCACGGGAAGATGACGCTCTGTTGTCACCAGCGGAAACAATGCGAACCGAATTATCAGCATACCGAGAAAGATTGGGAACGCTGGGAGTGTTCAATTGTTTTGATGTTCGCGACTTCTGTCTAGTCAACGATCTGCTCTGCCGCGGCGTTGTGCTCACAGTATGTTGATCTTTTGTAACTGGTCTGGCGCGGGACTGAGACGGGGCTGTTGAAGGACGATCAAAACTAGTTGGTGGGTATGACGGCGATATATGAGGGGAATCATTTGGGAATCCGCCTGGTATTGTGAGGGCTGCAGGCAAGGGAGGTACTGGTGGAATGTCATTGGAACTCTCCCGCATTAACAGTTCAAGGCCATTCTTCTCTTCGCTATTTAAGGCGTTGGTGTGGTTAGACACGGACGCCTTTGGGGTTTCCGAACCCTCTCGCGGTGGCCTATTAGATAGCGTCGCAGCACCGGGAGATGTAGTTCCTATATCGGAGGCAGAAAATGTATCGCTAAGAATGCTTTCTGCGCTGGATGCACCACTTTCAACCCCCTGAGATAAGTCCTCGCGACCGCGAAGAGGACTCGAGTGGCAGACATTGCTGCCGTTTACAACAGACAAAACCCGACGAAGCTCGTTGACTCTTACCGTAGAATCCCGACTTGAACTCGCAACGGATGTGTGTGAGCCTGCCGGAACACTCTGGCGCCGAAGCTTTTGCAGACTATTCGAACGGCCTGTGATTCCAGGAGGGCCGGAAAGTCGTGCATCGGGAATTCGTTGGGGTGGGTTAGCTGAGATATTGTCCTCTTTCGGGGGAGACGCATTCCCATTCTTATGTCCATTTGTTGCAAAATAATTGCGTGTCGCCGAAGTACCGGTTCTCGAACCACTAATCGATGACGACTGCGCTTTTTCGGTGGCTATGGCGGCCAGGCATTCCTCCTTCGACCATGGCGTTAGCATGCGTTCCTTCACAATCGTTGGAAGTCGTTCTTCCGGCGGAACTCTCCCTGGCGCAGCGCTTCCCTGCCCAAGAATGGGCGTCGAAAACGCACGGCCAGGAGAACTGGCAGGGCTGATTGTTGGCGATTTAACAACGGTATTGTAGTTATTTTCAATTTGATCAACAAGCTGAGACAGGCCAGTGAACGGGTAGTACATGCTCCTGTCGGATTGTAATTGTACATTATGGTTGGGGCTGGGTCCGTTAGAGGGTATAATGTGATTTAATTGTCGTGGCGGGAGTTGGATATTTTCAAGCCAACAACCTCTCTGCTTCCGTCTGGAAATTTCTCTAAGGATATTATCACCAACTTTTGTAGTTTCGAGAGCGAATTTTTCAACTAATGCCCAGAGATACCCGTGAACCAAACTTAAAACGTTGATTTTAGCAGCGGCAGAAATTGACTCATCGTTGGATAAAAAGTCAGCTTGCAGCCTCAGTATCATAGGAAGTCCATATTTGGCTGCATTGACCCCCATTTTCTCCACCAGATTAGCCAGTAACAGGTGCAAAAGCATAATATCGGAGTCCACTGCAGCATATTCTGTTGCAATATCGTAAACTGTCAGGTGGAGGAGTTGAAGAAAGTTGGACGTAGCTATGGCGGCATCCTTATCCCGCTGAGATACTGTGGAGATGATTTTCCTGGTCAATTTGTCTGATGGATCAGAAACCTCACGCCTAGCACCGATTTTGGGCTCACGTTTGGTTTCAAATGTCGCCCTCAGGTCATCTTTTGTAGTTTCTAGTTGCAACCAAGAAAGAAATGCATCAACGTAAGTGTGTGAAACCTCACGATCTGGGTCTCGCAGAAGCCATTGGGTACCTTCCCATACCCAAATGTTGACTCTGCTTCGCGAATCCGCTCCTGCCGCAGTCATGGACTTGCGTAGATTGGCCATCAGTATATTTTTGATGCATTTTAAAGCTACAATTCTAGCAGCCGGGAAGGAAAAGGTGTTCCCCGTTACATCGTCCGAGCTGTCAATGGCATTAGTTTGATCGCCTTCAGCCTCATGGTTCGAAAGTTCCGATGTTGGAGACGGCTTTAGTCGCGAAATAATAGTACGAATCATGTCAGAAACCTGATCAGTGTAATAAATGTGTGTAGCCAAAGATCCGATACACTTTTGCAGGAGTTCCACCAACTCCTGGCGCGCGTCCCAAGGGATGGCAGTACCTGTGCTCTCTGCTAGTTGCACATCATTACCGTTAGGATCCACGATCGGCTTTTCGCTAGCCTCTCCGAGTTCTGGAAGGCTATCGACATTCCTAGAAGGTGCGCCGTGGTGTACCATTTTCGTAGATCGGCCCCCTAGCTGCAAGAGAAGAAGCAGGCGTTGAAGTAAACTAATAAGGACGTCAATTACGCTCAGTCCAATGAGATTGTTCGGAGAGCTAAGTAACCAGTCCATCATCGATGCTAGGATCAACTGCGACTCGAGTTTATCGTCAACCATGGGGGTATTGACAAGCTGTTCCAAGGTTGTAATGAGAATGATGAAGCGGTCCTGTACTGGTGACCACTTTGCGATTACTTCCATCAAATTTGTGGCCCAGCTGCCACCAGCACCAACAGAATCGGGATGATGCTGCAGAGAGCAGTGGCGCGGAGGCCTCTTGCTCACAATAAACTGCAGGATCAGGGAAATTGCATGGCGAATTTGGCCCCGATTACTACCAGCAGCGAAAATCTTCTCCAAGCAGCGCAGTGCCAAAACGCGGACTTCAATTTCTGCCAAATTGTCTGCATCTGCTGTAGACGCTGCAGCGGTAGTGGGGTCCGCATCCGTTGTGTCGACGGTCCGGACTGTCGTGATGCTCGTTCTTCGTCGTCGCGCATGCTCCCGTTCCTGCTTTTCTGAAGACAAAACCTTTGCCTGCAACGGAAGCAGGTTCTCGGTAGAATAAAGATTACTCAGAATCACCGGCATCAGAATTTCCAATTGCTTTGTCCCATCCAACGACAGAGCTTCAGAGCTGACAATACTTTTGATAGCCCGCAAACCAGCATTTCGCCATCTCATACGTAGGGGGAGTGAGAGCGCCGCCTTCGCTGGAGTTACATGGTCGACTGAAGCCAGCTGCGCATAGCTCCTGACAATATTTCTATATAGGTTCACGTATTCCTGATCCGCACCAAGGACAGTCATATCCTGATGACGGCAAAAGATATCGTAAGTCTCTATGGTCTCTTCTACCATCGGTAGGTCATTTGAGCCGAGAACAGTATCAATTATTGTCAAAACAGAGAGCGCGTATAGGGGTAGATCTCGTGGAACCTTCTCAATAAGCGCTGCGAGAATCTGGAGGGTGACTTGGACATTCCTAGAATGTAGAAAAAATATACGCTCATTTATTAGTACTGAGCTGTTTTACATTGTTATGGACAGACGCCATACCCGAGCTTCATCCTCCAAACATCTCTAGCAGCCCTTTTCTCCAGAAATGCGCCAACCTTCTGCAGCTTACTTCGTCGCGTGCTGGCATAGTAGAGGAGATAACTGAGCTCTGACGAGTTGGGCTTCACCTCCTGAAAGCCTTTCTGAAACCGTGGATAACATTTCAAGATTAGGACCTGATGTTTCGGTCGGCATGATTGTTGAAGGGAATTCATTTGGGTAACCGTTGTCCCTTGCCTCCAGTATCTTTATGCGTATTATGTTCGTCGTTCCGGACGTCGAATAGGATGGCGTTCAATTCGGCGATAAAATTTAGGGGGGCGCGTGTCCTGATAAACGGCAGTGTACAGCTTTATCCAGCAGATTCCTAACAGGAAGCAGTGGCGGCCAACACGTTAAACAGTGAGTACTTAGTGTTGGATCCTGAGGGAAGGACGGATTCACAGGGCGGACTGAGGGTGGTGGTTCGGGGATGAGACTGCGACAGCGCGACGGGGAGGGAAAAGTGCTGCTGGAGCAGCAGGACCAGACCCAGTTCGGACATGAAGAGGCGAGAACTCTACAATCTAAGAGAAGGAGAAAAGGATGAACAATCCAGCACTCTTAGACTAGGTCATCCGCGTCGTGCCAAAGAAGTTTGCTGGAAGACTTTAGGGGAAATCCAAAGAAATATTATTTCGGAGATGGGATGATATCAGGCAGGAAAACCATTACAGTACGGTACGGTTGACCCTAAAAATAAACTTCAAGTTGTCCGCGAAACACCAACTGTTGACAACACCAATATGATCCGTCCAGCTTAAAAAGCCAACAGAGACAAAGGAATTGAAAAAAATAATACTCTTAACTCAAGGTAAATTGAATTTTTTTGTCTCCACTGTGGTTTGCTGAGCATTTATGCAACCAACTTGGTGATTACAATGCGCGAAACATTTTATCATTGTCTCACCCATTCGTTCCTGTACGTATTGTATTCACTGTATACGCAAACACCCCAACAGTGATCCAAGAGGAATTATCCGAACTCCAAATCATATCTGCAACCGCCAGTGGGCTAGAACTTGCCTCCTAGCCCTCTTGGGGCCTCTATGACGGCAGGCGGGCCACTCGGCTGGCTAGCTGCGTGAGCCATAGGAAGTTGGGAAACCAGTGCTTCCTCCCATCGAATCCCTTACCCCACGATATATGGAGAGCTACGAAAATACCGGCATGCGACACACAATATCCACATCAAATGCGTCCTGCTGCTATCTGTTTTCGTTGGTATTGGTATTGGTAGCAAATACATGGCTTTCTCCGTTCGAGTATCAACCATGACAAACTGAACGAATACCCAGAATGCCTTGCTAGAAGAATCTGTGCTTTGTATAGTCAATTATTATCAACGCTCCATGGCCCCCATTGGTGGATTGATTGTGGTTTGACAGATCTAGACTACCCCAACTTCCGACTGGCCGAGCAAGCCTTACTGGGCTAAATTCCCCCCGTCAAAAGGCCGATCACTCAATCAGAATTTACCCGGTTGGACGATATGGTAGTCTCGGATCGGCTAGGAAGGCAGGAGTTGGAACACTCGAAAATCTAGAAAAGTTGATATATCAAGTTTGGGTTATTGTCATGTTTTTATTCTATCAACGGGGCCACGCACAGATGTATTTGTCCTGCTAGGCCAACGACCAAAAGAAGAAAAAAAAGTGCCAAAATAAAGTGGGGAACCACATCATATTCTTTCCACTCTTGATCCTCTCTTGAAAATGGCAAGCTTGGTTTTATCGTTTATTCATTCGACCTTTTCCCCCCGTCGCCGTAGATCCTTGCTTGCCTCGGTAAAATGCCGTAAATCCAGCGGACGGTTAAACATCTGGTGGATTTATTAGATGTGGGAGGCTTGACCAAGTTCCACATATCCCCTTATTACTGTAGGGTTGGTATCGCCCAATCAGTCAATGTCACCAGCACCATCATAAGTGGTGCGTAGATTGCACATGTACATGGTTACGAAATGGTATTGTCTTCTTTCGCCCACTGTCGCCCACTGTTCTTCCAACGACCTGTAAAACACCTGAAGTAGGTGCGTGTGACGGATTTCTCACCAACACCAAGTCTCCATGACAGTCATAATGGTGCAAAAAGAAACGGTGTTGCAAGCCTTATTATTCATTCAATTCCATTTCGGCCCTCAATGCTACCAAGGCCAGCAGTTGTTTTCGCGGCGTCAAGTTCATGCTGGTCGTCTTTCTCGTAGTTATTGATATTCTCTCCAGCTCCGCCAATTGCCCTATCGTTTTTTGTCCCAGCACCCAGCAGCGCCTCGATAACCTGGGGACGAATGACAGCCTGGCGAAATGACTCGTCCTGCAGCAACCGAAGTGCCCGTAGTGTCGCCCCTGGGTGTGTTAAAAACTGCACATATTCAGGTTGTTTCCAGTACGAGTATAAGTAGGCGAGGTAAGCGGCGAATGATTGCGCGTCGGAGATAGGAGTGGACGTAGAATTATCGATGGCGGCACGAGATGAGGAAGATGAAGAAGACACTCCAAGGAGGTGAGGATATGTGATAGCTAGGTGAGAGACGTAATGGGGGTTTGCGAGAGATAAAACGAATTCGAGCTCGAGCGTGAACCGCGGATTTTCCAGGTTGGGGATTGGAGGATTGGGAGGGTTCGCCTGAGTCATGGTGACTCTACCAAAGGCGCGGCAGATAATCCGAGTTCTATCCTCGGGTAAGGTATCACGCGGTCTAGATAATACACTCCATGGGTTGCGTCGAAGATGTGAGGCGGTTGGTCTCTTTAAGAATGAAGGACTGCCTTATAGTTTATATCACGTGATATTTATACACAGATATTTGGCTTCCTATTGAGGACTAGCGTACAGAAGATCTGTTGTCCAAATTGGACATCAGTTTTCGGGAAACTCTCTATAGTAGTTTATAGCTCCAGTGGTAGGGAGCGCATATAGGTGTTTTGTAACTGCTACCTTGGAAAGTCGGCGTGGATAACTTCGGGGGTATTCAAATTGAAGATGGGAGGAATGTGACCACTAACGTGGAACCTCATGGGATGAGATTAGACAAATGAATGAAACGCTTGGGATTTCTGGCATTAAGCCATGCTATAGTATGCTTCTCAAGTGCACTCAGGAATGGCTTGATTGGATCCTAACCCAGGGGAAACGCTATCTGCGAGCAAATGGTGCTCCGTCACCACACAGGACAGTTGACGAAGCCCTCCCTCACCTATGTTCCTGAGCTGCTTATCAGCTTCGGATGACTCTCATCAAAGACATTCCTGAAGAAGGCAAAAAGAAAAGGAAAGATAAGAAAAATTTCTGAAGGCATTTACGCAACCCTTCCCCACTAGATACACAAGCCCCATATTCACAAAGGAGAGAAAATGAGAAATGAAAGAAAGAAATTGAACTGCCAGTCCCCGAAACTGTTCATTTCATATACGCATGTTCATGTGAATGGGCATGGTGACCAGTAAACACTCTATATTGCGCACATGCCCTCCAGCAATCCTCAAGAACCTGCGCACGCATAACCACGTCCCCCAGCTTCCGAATAGTCTTCGAAATCCGCAACAATGATTCCAATCGAAGCGTCAACTTTGCAAATATGCGTGATTCCATTATGCTCCGCATCATGGCCATACCCTTATGCCAGAAGCAAACCAGGGGCGACGCCGGCAGAATATAAAGGCGCCAGAAAAATATAGAATATCGGAGCGTTTTGATTCCGTAGGGTGGCGCAATTGCACTCGTAGAGACCTGCGGCATAGAAACGCTTGTTGAAGGGCCGATATCTCGCTTTGATATTGGGCCCGGTAAGTCCAACCTTAGGGAGATTATTGCTCTTGTCCAGTAGGATTTCTTCCTACACGTACAGTCATCGACGATAGCCAGCTTCATTATAGCCTCAGAGCTGAAATCCGGCGGTGGGGTACTCAATCCGACTGTGGAGGTTCCCATCCTAAGACCGCCTCCTCTCCAATGCACAACGGAGTTCTCATCCACGGAATCAAGACTGGGGAGGCTGACCATGCCCGTCAGCTAACTCGCTGGATATCTCGCTCAATGCATCATCCTCGGTAACATTAGCATCGGTGTCATCCTGGTCGCCAACGTAGGCTTTGAATCAAGTCGCCTTGAATGCACAAAGAGTGAAGGCCATTGATCAACCTTTCTTTAGAGGTACACAGGCTAACTTTATCTAAAGAATAATACTCTCGCGAAACGGCAAAACAATTGCAAGTACACCAGTGGATGTAGCAATGATCGTCTGGAAAGTTTGAAGGAGGGAACAACCAGCGACTGTACGTGGGCTCCCTCACCGAAATCCAGCATTTCCAGATCCCTCAATCTCCGTTTCCCAAAATTTCAGAGCAGCTCGAGAAAGAATGGCGGTGATTTTTCTATTTTTTGAAACCTCGGAAGCGATCACGGTTCAGACCTCAGTAGACATCGTTTCAGGCACTGTTGGCCAACAACAAATTGCGCCAGTTGTAGCAGGATGTATGGTCTCCCTTGTGGCCAGCGCCTGAGTCGCTGCAAATTTGCGCAGGTTCTAGAGCCGTGTGATAGTCTGTCGATTGTCGAGTTCCACTTGAAACGTTGACGCCAAGATGGATATCTCCGTTAAAACCTGAGCGCGGATTTACATCAACTATGATATTGCCGCCCCCAAATATCTCAAAATGGCAGCAGGATTCTATCTCCCATCAGTCATCTCGTCGACCGGGGGATGGTTCAAATCAAGGAGTAGAAGATCCACTTTGAGCTCGGAAGCTCAACGCACCCTTGTCTGATGCGGATAAGGGCAACATCAGGCCAATGGAAAATCCTGAGATTGGTTGCAGAAAAAGCACGCGAAGGCGTCGTTAGGTGTTGCAGCCACTAACTATTAATATTGCTTAGCTAATCACCAAGGACTGGGCACTTTGCTGCTGTGAGGATTGGCGTGTTTCTCACAGCCAGCCCTGCTGGATTTCATGAGGGTCAAACATAAGGCTATTTATTGCCTCTCTAACGACGACTCTCGGGTTGGCTATTGACAAGCTTTTTAGTTACTGATGGTCGACTACCAATAGATAGCACACCATTTTCAGTCTGGATAACCTCCAATTGTCCTCTCCTCTGATAAAGAGAGAGGTATATATAGAGAGAGAGACTACAAT